ATTAAGTACACGAATAAGACATAAGAGAAAGGATGAGAAATTGAATAAAACATTCGTACTTCAGCAGCCAAGAGAGTGACTAGCAAATTTTATTATACCGCTCGACCACATTGGTGTCAGAATCCCGTTAATGGACTGATCTCCACCGGTTTTTTTGTAAAACCAATACAATATTTAAAAAAGCTTCGAATATTTTTCCGCACATTAGTCTCTTGTGCAATCGCAAAATTTACTTCGCCGCTAACATAATTTAAAAACGATTCGATATGGAACATGCATTGCAGAGGACAGACAGCGCGACGGTCACAGGCAGCGACTGTTTTCCAGAGATGTCGCCTAACCGAATCAATAACGGAGCTCCGCAAGACATGGCTCAAGGGCAAACGCCAATAACCGAAACGCCCGGTTCGCAACAACAAGGTACATCAGTGCTTTTAGGGCAACAGCAGCATGGCGCACCGCTACCGCCAGTACCACAACACCGACTGTTGGTTCAGCAACAACAGCAACAAAGCGCAAACTTACCGTTGGGTCAACAGCAGTCATTGGTCCAACAACAACAGCAAAGTGCACATCTTCAACAGCAGCCAATGCAAAACGAATTTCATGCGCGAATTCCAATGCCACGCATTACACCCAACGACATGGATGCCTGGTTCACATCAGTCGATTACTGGTTCAGAGCATGCAATATGCGAAGCGATGCTCAACGATACTACCACGTAATGGCAACGCTGGACCCGCTCACTCTACCTACTATTGGACAAATCTGCAGAAACGCCGAAAATCCCCAACGTGTGCTTAGCACCGGAGTAGGCATGTACGAGTATTTAAAACGTGAATTATTAAAATACTTCGGGGAAAGTCAGCAGCGCAGAATCCAGCGCTTGCTCGAAGAAATGGTGCTGGGCAATCAACGACCCAGTCAGCTGTACAACGCCATGCTACGTGTAGCAGGAAATTCCTTTTCCGAAGATGCGCTTCGTGCAATGTGGATCCAACGTTTGCCAGAACTCGTTCGTGCATCCATAATTGCACGAGAAGGCCCAATAGACGTACAGATAGCAGTTGCCGACGCAGTAATGGAGACGGTATCCCAGCGTCAAGTTTGTGCTATCTCGGAAACATCGGCGTCAACTGCTCCGTCAACAGAGGTAGCAACTACGTTGGCGAAAATCACAAGCGCCATTCATCAATTGCAAAAAAGGTTCGACGATTTGAATACTCGAGGGCGCAGTCATCGTCGCAATCCTCAACGCACCCGTTCACGCAGCCGTCGCAGCAGCAGTCAGCGTTCTGAGCCGCCAAATTCTCAGGATTGTTGGTATCACCAAACATTTGGGGACGCAGCAACTCGCTGCCGCAGCCCCTGCGGTCGACGCCAACGAGGTGGGGCCGAGCATGAGAGCAGCAGGCGAGATTGACAATCAACGCCGTGCAGCGAGCAAGCACAACTTATATATAGCGCGAGCATTAACCAACTCTACGTCGCCGACCGATCGTCCGACATCAAATATCTTGTCGACACCGGTGCCGAGCGTCTTACCAAAAATGCATACATCGAAACCTTTGCAGCCGACGTCCGTGAAGCTCTATGCGGCCAATGGCTCAGAAATAAACGCATACGGTATACTTCGCCGCCGTATAAATCTTGGCCTGCGACGGAACTTTGAGTGGAGCTTCATGGTAGCTGACGTAAGTACACCGATAATCGGCAGCGATTTTATCCGCCACTACGATTTAACCATTGATTTGAAAAGAAACAAATTAATAGACAAAACTACGAACCTCGAAGTGCCGTGCACTATTCGCACCGGGTTGAATATGCAGATTAAGGCATTCGATCATAACGATCCGTTCGCGAAGTTGCTGGCGGACTTCAAAGACCTCACAGAGATGACTTCGGATCGCAGACCAGTTAATACTGATGTTCATCACGTCATAGAAACATCTGGTCAACCTGTGAACGCTCGTGTACGAAAGCTGGACCTGGAAAAGCTTGCTGCAGCCAAAGCCGAGTTCGAGTATTTGATGCGAATCGGTGTATGTCGTCCATCCAAAAGTAACTGGGCCAGCGCACTCCACATGGTTCGAAAGCCAGACGGTGGCTGGCGACCATGTGGGGACTACCGGGCGCTCAACAAAATAACCGTGCCCGACAGATACCCGATCCCATTCATACACGATTGCACTGCGATACTCGTTGGAAAAACGGTTTTCGGAAAAATTGACCTGCAGCGCGCCTTTCATCAGGTGCCAGTCAGACCCGAAGATGTAAAAAAAACAGCCATAGTGACACCTTTTGGCCTGTTTGAGTTCACGCACATGACATTCGGGCTTAGAAATGCAGCGCAAACTTTTCAGCGCCTAGTACATGAAACGCTACGTGGATTAGACTTCGTCTTTCCATATGTGGACGACATATGCATCGCCTCATCGAGCATTTCAGAACATAACCAACACATTCGGTTGGTATTTGAGCGACTACGAAAGACGGGCTTGACGATAAATCCGTCGAAATGTGAGTTTGGAAAAACTCATATCAGGTTTTTGGGTCACCTCATCACCAAAGAGGGGATTCGTCCCTTGCCCGAAAAAATAGAAGCCATATTGCGGGTACGAAGGCCAACTATCGCAAAGGAATTGAAGAGTTTCATAGCAACCGTCAACTTCTATAGGAAATTTCTGCCTGATGCTGCGCAGCGTCAAGCGCCTTTGCAGAAACTTATCAACGGCAATACACGCAACGACAGATCTCCTATCGAATGGAACGAAGCAGCAGTTGCCGCGTTTGATGAATGCAAGAAAGACCTGGCTAGTGCCGCTACCTTGGCCTACCCAAAGATTGGTGCTGAATTGCAACTAACCACCGATGCTTCGGACATCGCCGTAGGGGCCGTACTGCATCAGCTGGTTGACAACGAGCCACAGCCCTTAGGCTATTTTTCACGACGTCTCTCTGATTCTGAAAAGCGGTACTCCACGTACGACCGGGAGTTGTTGGCCGTTTACTTAGCCGTCAAGCATTTCCAATTCATGATCGAAGCCAACGTTACAACCACTTTTACCGACCACAAGCCGTTAGTCTATGCCTTTAGTCAACGCCCGGAAAAAGGATCACCTCGCCAAATCCGACACTTGGACTACATAAGCCAGTTCACAACTGACATCCGTCACATACCTGGATCTGCAAACCAAACGGCTGATATGCTATCTCGTATCAACACTATAACCGCAATCAACTACCTTGATATGGCCACTGCGCAGCGAACTGATGATGACATTAACGCGCTGATACATGGTAAGAGAAATCATTCGCTCAAATTTAAACATTTCGAGATACCAGGTACTCAAGCCCAACTGCTTTGTGACATCTCCACAAGCAATATCAGGCCGGTAGTTCCGTATGACTTCCGGCATCAAGTTTTACATACACTGCACGATCTCGCACACCCAGGTGCGAACGCGACGCTTAGAATGGTTTCACAACGATTCGTGTGGTTAAGCATGCGAAAGGACTGCAAGGAGTTCGTTCGAGCGTGTGGACGTTGCAGCCGCAGCAAAGTTCACCGACACAACAGGGCACCGTTGGTACGTATGGAGATGCCTAATCAACGATTTGAAGTAGTCCACGTGGACATAATTGGACCATTACCACTATGCCATGGCTTTCGCTATTGCTTAACGTTCCTCGATCGGTTTTCTAGGTGGCCGGAGGCCATTCCTCTTACCGATATTCAGGCCGAAACCGTCTGCCGAGCTTTCTTAAATGAATGGGTGGGTCGCTATGGAGCGCCAAGGAAAATTGTAACTGACCAAGGAGCCCAATTCGAATCAAACGTGTTCATCGAAATGCTCCACATACTAGGAACACAGCGCGAGCGAACGTCGCCATACCATCCACAGGCAAATGGCTTAGTTGAGCGATGGCATCGCACGTTCAAAACCGCGATTCTCGCTACAGGTAAAGATGAATGGGTCGACAACTTAGGTTTAACTTTACTTGGCCTGCGGAATGCTGTAAAAGACGACATCAAGTCTTCGGCATCGGAAATGTTGTTTGGTTCCCCGACGCGACTGCCAGGCGAATTTTTCACTTCGAGCAACCGCGTGCGACCTAACTCTGTTTTCGCTGATAAGCTACGCACCCATCTGCAAAATATCCGCCCAGTTGAAACTACATGGCATTCTCCAAGCATACCCTTCGTCAACAAGAATTTGATGGCATCAACGCACGTCTATGTACGAAACGACAGAGTTAAACCTTCAATGACAGAGCCTTATGATGGGCCATACAAAATCGCCGCAAAAAACAGCAAAACTTTCACAGTTATTATAAAAGGTAAAAACGTTGTAATTTCAGTTGACCGTCTCAAACCAGCGTACTTCATCGCCGATGAAACAACAAATAAACAAAGAGCCGCAACTGTAACATCGAGCAGCGTTAAATCACTGAGACGAGTCGCCTTCCTGCAAAATTCCTAGCAGGAATTCTAGGAAGGGGGTACTGTGGTGGTCCCTTCAAAACATTTTATAAAAATCTCATAAATTTTGAACAGTCAACAGCATACATTAAATTATAAGTAATTTATTTCTCTCTTTACACAACACTATATTTATTGTTTCGTATCTTCAAACTTGTACCACATTTTCGTAGTTGTACCATCCCTAATTAAGTACACGAATAAGACATAAGAGAAAGGATGAGAAATTGAATAAAACATTCGTACTTCAGCAGCCAAGAGAGTGACTAGCAAATTTTATTATACCGCTCGACCACATTGGTGTCAGAATCCCGTTAATGGACTGATCTCCACCGGTTTTTTTGTAAAACCAATACAATATTTAAAAAAGCTTCGAATATTTTTCCGCACATTAGTCTCTTGTGCAATCGCAAAATTTACTTCGCCGCTAACATAATTTAAAAACGATTCGATATGGAACATGCATTGCAGAGGACAGACAGCGCGACGGTCACAGGCAGCGACTGTTTTCCAGAGATGTCGCCTAACCGAATCAATAACGGAGCTCCGCAAGACATGGCTCAAGGGCAAACGCCAATAACCGAAACGCCCGGTTCGCAACAACAAGGTACATCAGTGCTTTTAGGGCAACAGCAGCATGGCGCACCGCTACCGCCAGTACCACAACACCGACTGTTGGTTCAGCAACAACAGCAACAAAGCGCAAACTTACCGTTGGGTCAACAGCAGTCATTGGTCCAACAACAACAGCAAAGTGCACATCTTCAACAGCAGCCAATGCAAAACGAATTTCATGCGCGAATTCCAATGCCACGCATTACACCCAACGACATGGATGCCTGGTTCACATCAGTCGATTACTGGTTCAGAGCATGCAATATGCGAAGCGATGCTCAACGATACTACCACGTAATGGCAACGCTGGACCCGCTCACTCTACCTACTATTGGACAAATCTGCAGAAACGCCGAAAATCCCCAACGTGTGCTTAGCACCGGAGTAGGCATGTACGAGTATTTAAAACGTGAATTATTAAAATACTTCGGGGAAAGTCAGCAGCGCAGAATCCAGCGCTTGCTCGAAGAAATGGTGCTGGGCAATCAACGACCCAGTCAGCTGTACAACGCCATGCTACGTGTAGCAGGAAATTCCTTTTCCGAAGATGCGCTTCGTGCAATGTGGATCCAACGTTTGCCAGAACTCGTTCGTGCATCCATAATTGCACGAGAAGGCCCAATAGACGTACAGATAGCAGTTGCCGACGCAGTAATGGAGACGGTATCCCAGCGTCAAGTTTGTGCTATCTCGGAAACATCGGCGTCAACTGCTCCGTCAACAGAGGTAGCAACTACGTTGGCGAAAATCACAAGCGCCATTCATCAATTGCAAAAAAGGTTCGACGATTTGAATACTCGAGGGCGCAGTCATCGTCGCAATCCTCAACGCACCCGTTCACGCAGCCGTCGCAGCAGCAGTCAGCGTTCTGAGCCGCCAAATTCTCAGGATTGTTGGTATCACCAAACATTTGGGGACGCAGCAACTCGCTGCCGCAGCCCCTGCGGTCGACGCCAACGAGGTGGGGCCGAGCATGAGAGCAGCAGGCGAGATTGACAATCAACGCCGTGCAGCGAGCAAGCACAACTTATATATAGCGCGAGCATTAACCAACTCTACGTCGCCGACCGATCGTCCGACATCAAATATCTTGTCGACACCGGTGCCGAGCGTCTTACCAAAAATGCATACATCGAAACCTTTGCAGCCGACGTCCGTGAAGCTCTATGCGGCCAATGGCTCAGAAATAAACGCATACGGTATACTTCGCCGCCGTATAAATCTTGGCCTGCGACGGAACTTTGAGTGGAGCTTCATGGTAGCTGACGTAAGTACACCGATAATCGGCAGCGATTTTATCCGCCACTACGATTTAACCATTGATTTGAAAAGAAACAAATTAATAGACAAAACTACGAACCTCGAAGTGCCGTGCACTATTCGCACCGGGTTGAATATGCAGATTAAGGCATTCGATCATAACGATCCGTTCGCGAAGTTGCTGGCGGACTTCAAAGACCTCACAGAGATGACTTCGGATCGCAGACCAGTTAATACTGATGTTCATCACGTCATAGAAACATCTGGTCAACCTGTGAACGCTCGTGTACGAAAGCTGGACCTGGAAAAGCTTGCTGCAGCCAAAGCCGAGTTCGAGTATTTGATGCGAATCGGTGTATGTCGTCCATCCAAAAGTAACTGGGCCAGCGCACTCCACATGGTTCGAAAGCCAGACGGTGGCTGGCGACCATGTGGGGACTACCGGGCGCTCAACAAAATAACCGTGCCCGACAGATACCCGATCCCATTCATACACGATTGCACTGCGATACTCGTTGGAAAAACGGTTTTCGGAAAAA